TGTATAGCTTCCATAATAGACCTACCTGGCATGAATCCATTTGAGAAACATTAGTATCGCGTCGCAACCTATGCCGCATAACTATCTCCCATAGTTTTAAAGTATGCCACATTAACTTAATACATCTATAATTCACACAATCTTGTGCATCACCTTTTATTCTTATAAATAGGAATCAACACACATATTCTCCACTCATCTGGCATCTTTTAAGTCTTCAAAATAATATTAAAAAATTTAGTAAGCCAAGAATGAATAAAAGAATAAAAAGTAAGAAATTTATTGTCAATTTCATTTTCATGTAACAATTATATTTGTTACTTCTAGTTGATCATTCATGCAGTTGCTTTACAACTCATGTATTGAACATTCAGCACCCACACTAAGCCAATTATAACATTGAGTGAAAAATGCTTATTTGACCATCACTGCATTTTCTGTAATTTCCATGTTAGAATTATCTATCTATCTAACTGAGTATTTGGTTCATTCAATGCTACATCATGATTTTAGGAAAAAGGGAAGGAGCACGAGGAATATAAGACAGGTGAATAGTTTTGCCTCATATAATAATATTTTGGATGTATGATTTTGGATATGGTAAGATATATGTATGATAAAGTAAATTAAAGAAATTGGGTGTGTACTAATTTATTTTGGAAGTTATATTAGAAGCTCTGGATTTGATTTAATGATTTTAATTATATATGCTTTCATTTTAATGCTTTTGATGGATATTTCAAGTTCGACCACTTTCCACTCATTAGAGCCTAGCAAGTTAACTTAGGATGGGTGCGGTAAGAGTTAAGTCTGACTAGATTCTCTATCTATTACGCCTCAAGATTTCCTAAGAATAGGTGAAAATAGGGTGTGGTGTGACACCTCAAAAGGTATGAGAATCAAAAAGATAAAAATATTGGACATATCTATTATTGACCTCGCTTTCATTGTGCTCTAGCTTGACCACTACACACACCTTGGTGGCTTCAAGTATTCTGGTTCAATCATTGTAGTACCCACAGACATGACGATTTGAACTTGAACTTCCTGATAAGGATCACTTCCTAATCATGCACATATCCATTGTTTCGCTCAATCGTGTGTGCCTCACTATAATTGCAATCGTCGCTTAATCGTGTGCTTCTAGCCACAATCACGATCTTCTCTCAATCATGTGTGTCTCACCACGATTGTGATTGTTGCTTGATCGTGTGTGTTTTGTCATGGTTGTCACTTTATTGTGTACATATCGCCATGATTGCGATCGTCACTTGATTGTGTGTGCCTCGCCGCGATCGCAATCATCCTTCGATCGTGCATCTCCCCATGATTTGCAAATTTCGTTACGATCGTAATTCTAGTGCAATTAATTTGAACAATCTTGGTTAGCTCGATGGAATTTCATTTGATTTGATTTATGGGAAATTACTTATTTGAAGAGTTTATATGTATATGTATATGTATATGTATATATATGTATATGTGTATATATATATATATATATATATATAATCTCAACCCATTCAAAACTGAACTATTTCGTTATAATAACTGCCACACTCTTTCTTTTCTAAAGCTGAAATTATCTAAAAATATTTCGAAATGGCCCCTAGGCTTACAATGACCTCTAAAAAAAAAACTACAGCCATCCTTCCCAATACTTGCTAGCCACCCATCCCTCCAATCTACACATTTGCCTCAACCAAGTCGCTGCCACCTTAAAGCTCAATATTGATCACCTACAACCATTCACGTCATTTGATTCATTCTCATTTTTGCATATATCAACCTACACAAAGCATACCACGATCCAGTCATCTCTGAAGAAACAATGAACCTCCAATGCCTTCAATGTTTACACATAAAACGAACCTATCATCATTTATATCCTCCATATATTTTTCCATCATTCCACATCACTCTATACCCTTTTGTCTCCTCTACTACATTGAGGGAATAGTCGAGATTTTCATCACCTCTTTAATGTTTTCTCTATCACATTGAAAAGGCATCTGGCCTTCATGGTTGCCACATGATCAAGTTGTAAATCTCACTGTTGGCATCATCTCTACCACATTAAGAAGATGTTCGGGCTTGTTAAATCACACAAATTGAGCTGTAGTCCCAATCATTAGATTTCTCCTCTACCGCATTGAGGAGATATTCAGGATTCTACTCCTTAGACGTCTTCTCTACCACTTTGAGAAGATGTTTGTCCCTATCTCATCTCGTCTACCACATTGAACATATATGTATATTATTCAAATCCATCTCATCTTCTCTACCACATAGAGAAAAAGTCAAGGCATTCTCATAGAGAAAAAGTCAAGGCATTCTCAACCTCACACGATCAAGTTATAAGCCCCACCTCGTATGTCATATACATCACATGAAGAAGATGCCCCTCTATCCAAACAATCAATATTAGAGAGCCTAGATAGCCTTGTCAACCATCGCAGGTGCCACTACGCGATACTATAAGTTCAGTCTAAGTTGCTCCCTCAAATGATAGAGGAGTGTAATACTCATTGGTCAACCTATGATTAGGTCCATGCCCTTAGTCTAGGAGTTCACCTTGGATAAGATAATTCATGATTGCTAACAAGGATCCTCAGGTCATTGCTTGAATAAATAGACTAAGGGCAATGATGAACCCGAAATGATGGAAACATGGGATTTGGAGCAAGGGAGTTATACCCATTTGGTAGGTTAGTCATCAATTTCTTATCATTCACACATTTTGTTTTCACCTTATCACTTGCATCAATCCTTAATTTTAACACAAGCATTAATTCCTCAATTATTGTAGTTCTTGATCACACCCGGGATATAATTAATCTTAGGAGCTTGCTCCTTGAGGAATCTTTGACCTTATAATTAAAATATACCCTATTTGAAGCCACATTCCTGGCAGGAGAAATCTCTACAACATCCAATCTTTACCCCGCTACATGGGGTGCAGAAGAAATCTGTGAAATAAAATTAATCTGTCTTTCATTAATTCCTACGAGCCTATAGAGTGCATTGAACAAATACAATTAGTCCTCTACTACAATGTCACATGCGTCATTTGAATTCCACATCTATACACGTAAAAAAATTGCTTAGTGCAAAAATGCCATTGTATTAGGCTCCCGTCAGTGCAAGATCTAGGTAGGGATTATTTATGCAACCTTACCCCAACATAACAAAGATGCTTTAATGCAAAGCTAGGGTGACAAGAGATGAATGATTGAGTAAAAAAAAAGGGATCCAAGAGGTGAGAATTCGGAAAGAATGTTGAGTGCACCAATTAGGAGAGAGTAGCGAGACTATAATAGAAATTTAATTTCAATTCATTCAGTAATAATTAAAATGCAAGCTATGAACCCCTACATATAGAAATAGTTAAAAATATATGCTCGAATAATTTGTAATCAAATTTAATTTTAACCAAAATTAAATCCAATCCTACTCATAATTCCAATTTAAACCAAATATTATCAAAAAGAATAATTCACCCTAATTTCAAAGTAATAAGTATAATCTAATAACTCCATATATTCTAATTAAATTAAATAAATCCTAAAATATTTTACCAAAAAAAAAAATACTAAAATAATTTAGCCCTATTTTCTTTTGTTGGATCAGGCTATTTTCAAGATTCAAATTTATGATCATCAGGTCATAATAGTGGTAATTTAATTATTGCACTAGCCATGGAATTCAAATCATGCCATTTGCAGTTTTATCTACTTTTTACTAATTATAACATGTAGACAAGAAATGAACGAGTTAGCATAAAAACCAACAAAATCACAAATAGTGTTTGAGACTAACTCTAACATGCAAAATGCAATAAAGTAAAAAGTGTAACATATTTGCAGTCATCCTATAAATAGGAAATATTAGCAAATTTGGTTCTTTTGTTAGAAGCTGGCAAAAGAATAGCTCAAACCAAAGCAATAATATGGAAACAAAGAGGCATATTAGTCATAATATTCAAAAAATGGAAAAAGACAAATGCAATAAAGTAAATAGTGTTTGAGACCGACTCTAGCATGCAAAATGCAATAAAGTAAAAAAAGTGTAAGACATTTGTAGTCATCCCATAAATACGAAATATTAGCAAATTTGGCTCTTTTGGTAGAAGCTGGCAAAAGAATAGCCTTAAACCAAAGCCAAAATATGGAAAAAAAGGGGTATACTATTCCTAATTTTCAAAGAATGGAAAAAGATAAACGAAAATTGGTTAAAAAAAAACAAATTATTCTTAGGATAAAAGCCTTAAAAGATTAATCATGATTTAGATCACAATTGTGAATCTTACCATTGCACACTACAATAAAAAAATGTAAGACATCCACAAGCATCAAGAAGACAACATTAAGAATATCTGGTAACTTTGTTAAAGAAAAATAAATCCTTAAACCAAGCCATAACATAGTAAAATGCAGCACACATATTGGTTCCATTGTTAGAAGCTAGTTAGAAGAAAGAAAAGCCTAAAACCAAAGCCATACTATGAAAAAAAGGGGCATATTATTCTTTATTCTCAAAGAAAGAAAAATGATTAACAAAAAATGGTTTAAAAACAAATCATTCTTAAAATAAAAGCCTTAAAGAATAACCATGATTCAAACTCGTGATTTCTAGATCACAATAGAGATAATCTAACCACTGCAAAAGCCTATCGAACTTAACTCCATAATTTTGTCTACTTTCTTCTTAGTATAGAAAGAAGACTGAAGAAAAAAATAAATTAGACTATAAAAGCAAACAAAATCACATATTTTGTAAATAATCTATTTGGCTTGAGAATAACTCTAATGTGCTAGCTGCAATAAGAAAATTTAAGAAATCTACAATCGTCCTATAAATAGACAGCATTAAGTATATTTGACTCCTTTGCCAGAGTAAAATAAAATCTTTCAAGCAAGCCAAAACATAGTAAAATGCAGCCTACAAATTATCCTTTAATTTCACATAAAAGGTTATAGAACAATTAATTTTTAGGATACGATAGCTTTCGTGAGTTTTGTAACAGCATCCTCAACAACAAATTTTCTATCCTTCAAAAACCAAAGGATCATGTCTTCATCATCTCTTCCATTTTTTCCAACCTGCAGACTTGAATGTTCTTTCTCAAGCTTATCTTTAACTTCCAACACAAGCTACAAATAAAAATTGAATCAAATTAGAGAATTTTAAGAGCTATGAATTCTTTTAAGAAAATACATTTTGACAAATATTAGATAAATGTAATTGGGAAGGAGGATCTCTTACCGAGGCTCAACCACGATCATTTTTGTCTACATTTGAGTGATATTACTATAAAGCCTTAAATGGATGCATAATAACATAGCAACTCAAAAGTTTGTAGTGTTTATGAAAGCATTATCCAACTCCACTCCCATATGTTCATTCTTTTTATGAAAAGCTTTGTACACCCTTCTCATTGAACAACAAAGTTTACATAACAATTACAATGATAGCGTAATTAGTGATATGATGCATATAATAATTCCTTGTGGGTGCAAACAAAGTGAGAATATGCATAAATATTTTTGCAATACTAACAGTGTGAAAAGAATCAAAGCCCCGCCTTGATGCCAAGTATAAATCACATACCAAACAGGTCCATGATGATTTTACATCTTCAGATCTCATCCAACCTTGTGTTCATTCCAATAAAATGTACAAGCGCAATCTATGCTCAGTCTACTTTAAATGTTGTGCTAAAATTCCTTAAAGTTTGTTACAAAACATATGGTTTCTAAACCAATTCTTCTTCATGTCACACCAATTTAATTGAAAAAGCAAACAACGTTTATTATCAAAACTAGAATGAATAGAATTTTTCTGACCAAGCACTGTTAGATCAAGTCAATGATTATATGCATCCCCAGTGACATATCAAGTCAATCATTTCGCTAAATCATTGTAACATGTGTGAAGAATACAAAGATGCTTCCCCGGTGACAATCATTTTTAAACCACATACTCAATAAAAGGTCGATAAACAAGATCACTACCAGTGGTATGAGTTAAGGGCTATATATATGGAATATAACAAAATTGATTTTAATCCAAAAATGCCTATGGTCGCCAGCTACCCTCCCAAATACTGTGGATCACCCTAGATCCATTAATGTGGGCATGATAAGATGAATGGAAAGAATACAATAAACATAATTCATTTATTTACTGCACAAAAATAAAAGCCGTTTGATCCCTTCCATGGTTGACTTCTTTCATTTAACCAAGAAATTGCCACGAGTATGCTATGACTGTCACACAATAAAACCATTTGATAATGAAATTGTATGGCTGTAAACCACCTAAAGCTTTTCAAGGGAGAACAATCGTTCTTCTAAATACTTTCAATCAATCAGTGGTTTATTTCTGACACATAGGCTAATACCTTCAATCATGCTATTAAGTACAAGAAGAGTATCCATAACATGAGGATGTGAAGTATCTCCTGCAGTAAACTCATGAAGTTGACATTGCAATTCAATGTAGCTACAAGCTGTATTTTTCAAAACCTCTTTCTCTTTCATGATCTTCCACAAGTTATATGCATATCCAAATTGACCTTTATATCCATATATGTTAGCCAAAAGTACATAAGCACTGCTATCACTTGGTACCAGCTCATTCAGGTGCCTTGCTGCAAATTCAGCAACTTCAATGTTGCCATGTGTCCTGGAAGCACCAAGAAGGGCCCTCCAAACAACATCATTGGCCTTCATCGGCATGCTATTCACTAGCTCAACAGCCTCCTCTAAATGCCCTGAACGACTCAGAAGATCAACCATGCAGCCGTAATGCTGAACTTTTGGAGGTATTCCATACTTTCTACTCATCAACAGAAAATATTGATAGCCATCTGCTACCAAGCCTGCATGGCTGCAGGCCTTTAAAATGGATACAAATGTAACATCATCTGGTCTAACATTTGAAAGTTCCATATCTGCAAACATAGAAACAGCCAAGTTACCACAGCCAAGAGAAGCAAGTACAGAGAGTATTGCATTCCAATGATCCAAATTTTTTGTTGTGATCGTATCAAAAATGCGCATCGAGTTATCAGCATATCCACACTTTGAGTACATGTCTATAAGCGCAACTCCAATAATACCATCTAATAAACAGTGTTTCCTACATACGTAAGCATGGACCTGGCTACCAAGAAAGTAAAGGCCTAAATCAGCAATACCAGAAAGAAGAATGGCTAAAGTAGAACAATCAGGTGTTTCTTCAAGAATCTGCATCTGAACAAAAAGTTCAAAGATCTTCTTTGGTTGCCAATTTTGTTTGTATCCACCAAGAATTACATTCCATGAGACTACATCCTTATATGGCATAGTATCAAAAAGCTCTCTTGCCATTTCCATCTCTCCAAGTTTAGAATGTCCGTCAATTAAAATGTTCCACGATATGACATCCTTATTCGGCATTGCATGAAACGTTTGATTTGCAAGTGCCATCTCTCCACACTTCACATAAGCGTCAAGCATAATATTCCATGATTTTTGATTCCGTAATGGCATTAATTCAAACAATTTACATGCTGCAATCATATCACAACACTTGACATACCCATTGATCAAACAATTCCAGGTAACTAGACTCTTACAGGGTGTTTTTTCAAACAAATTATGAGCCACACCAATATGATTACTTATTGCATATCCATTTATCATGATGCCCCAAGTAACTATGTCCTTGAAAGGTGCTATATCAAATAATTCTCTAGCAGATTTTATGTCTCCACTTTTGGCATAACCATCAATCATAATATTCCATGTAACGCCATCTCTCTCAAACATTTCATCAAAAAGGTGTCTCGCAATTTTCATCTGCCCATACTTTGCATGCCCATCAATCATAGCATTCCAAGAGAAAACATCACGTTCTGGCATTAGACTGAATAACTTAATAGCAGAATCCATGCAGCCATGTTTGACATACCCATCAATCATAGTGTTCCAGCTGACCAAACTTTTATGGGGCATGAAATCAAAGGTAAGGCGCGCCATTTCTATCTCGCCACACTTGGCATACATGGAAAGTATGGAGGCTTGTACAAATAGGTCTAAACTTAGTGGACTCTTCAAAATTTGGCAATGAATCTTCTCTCCTGCCGTGAGCGCATTGGCCCCAGCACAAGCTTTAAACACTAATGGAAATGTAAACTTATCTGGAGAGGCACCAATCAACAGCATCCAATAGTACAAACTTAAAGCTCTAGATGGGACTTTACTTTGAACATATCCTCTAATTACAGAGTTGTATGCAAAAGTATCGAGATCATGAAACTGCCTCAATATTAATTCTGCATATTCTAACTTCTCTAAGGTATTGCTAGAACAAGTTGTTATCACCTGCTTCGCTGCCTCACTATCCACAAATAATCCAACTACAATCATGGGGGCAAGTATGTTCCTCAGTTCTCTCACAGTGTGATATTTTTGTAATAAAGAGAGGCATTGCAATATGGAGATATGGGTGAATTTCCCTAGGTTCTGATGCACCTGACACAGGATTTCTCTTCCTCCTTCCAGTGCCAATTCCATTTTTTATATCATTTTCATCATACCTCGTGGCGCACATCCTAGAAATTCCAAGTAAATGACGTTATGTTCTGGTTTATTATTCAGAGCTCAAATAACATAAAAAAACCAAAAAACTTAGTTCTCAGTAATAATGAACTGCTGGCATGATCTACAGTTTGACTGCCAAGCAGAGGCAAATGAAACTCAATTAAAACAAAAAATAATAGAAAAAGAAAGAATACTAAAAGAACTAGATTCTACATTGATATATATGTCATCAAAAAAGTGCATTTGAACAAGCATGAATATTGATGCAAATTTTCAAATCTCAAAAATCCTAAGTATACACATCAGCAACTTTTTGAATCGACTACAAGATCATCCAAACTCTATTTTCAGCAAACATATAGTCAAAATGAACCCCTTGACGGGATGCGATGAACTAATGATGCTAATGACGACTTGATAAAGAGTACAAATGGACATAAATCAAACATTCTAAATATAGTTGAAAACTTTACAATATCATTTAACAGACCAAATGACCTATAAAAATGCATGTTTATAGTCGAAAAGAACCTCTCAACAAGATAAATCCAACGAGAGGTTCTTATCAAACAAAGAATATTGCTTAATTTTGATATTACTAAAACACTAAGAAGTATAAAAAAAATCTAAATGGCCAAGAGGATCAAGTTAGACAGTTTGACGAAGTTTTTTTTTTTTATTTCTGATAAACAATGATCACAATGCAGCTTAAAAAAATTATAAATAGACCCTGCTTCTACACATTCAAGTGGGATCCCAAAGAAGACTTTGGTAGAGGAGAATTCCAAAGCTCTAATTACCAGCACCCGACGCTCAACATGACCACCACCTTAAGTTGACTGATTACTTGTGTTTAACAATAACTTTCTAGCCCATCCAATCTCCCCTCCTATAAGAAGTATCAAGCTAGATCACCCAACATTGTCCAACATTTAGCAATTCTCAACAATTGTTTCCCAATGTGTAAAAAGGACTAATGCCCAATTATCGACGTCCGATGCCCACCTTCCCAATCATAGGCCTCATGTCTTATAGGAGATAGAATGAGCAAAGTATTGATCTCACTCAATATCCAATGTCTGCCAATACCTCTGACACCTAGTAGCCACCGACATCTAACCCCAAACTTCCAAGGAATAAATTTCCCCTCTTCTAAGGAGAAAAACATATAAGACCACTGACCATCACGCATCATGTGACCACATCAAATGTCTACCAATGTCTACCATTTATCTTTAGTTCACATCTAACACCTACCTTTCTAATCATTGGAGCCCTCTCTTATAAGGAGGACCAAGCGAACCATCAATCATCGCTTAACTTTCAACATCTTGGTTGAACATCATCTAACGCTATCAATATTTAGCCTACACCAGCTACAAAGACTCTTACACCTTCCTTCCTAATCATCAATCCACCTTCATATCGTCAGTCTCCCCACTTATAATGAGAAGGATCACACAGATCAACTTTAGTCGTCCAACATCCAACGTTCCTAGTCAATCATCATTTGACATATGATGATGTCTTATGCCCGCCTTTTTGGTCAATGATCTCCCCTCCTATACAAAAATAACCAAGCAAACTATCAACTATCGCCTCACGTTTGGCATTCGAAAATGACCTTTGGCCAACACCTGTCGATGTCCTACATATGTCAGCCATCAACATATGGTGCACACCTTTCTAGTCTTCCCTCATGTTTGACATTCTAAATTGACCATCGCTCAACGCCTGTTGATGTCCTACATATGTCAGCCACCAACATATGATGTAGACCTTTCATATAAGAAGTACCAAGTTAGATCATCCAACATTGTCCAACATTTGGCATTTCTCAACAATTGTTTCCCAATGTGTATAAAGGACTAATGTACGATTATTGACGTCTAATGCTCACCTTCCAAGTCGAAGATTGAGCATCCTATTGATCGTCACTCATTATTCAATGTCTACCAATACCTAATACCCGATAGCCACTAACATCTAACCCCCAACTTCTTGGCAATCAATTTCCCCCCTTTTAAGGAGAACAACATATAAGACCACTGAACATCATACATCAAGTGACCATCATCAAATGTCTATCAATGTCTGGCATTTATCTGTCGTTGACATCTGACACCTATCTTTCTAATCATTGGTTCCCTCTCCTATGAGGACCAAGAGAACCACATTGATCTTGGTCGAATACCAACTAATGCTATCAATATTTAACCTACATTAGCTACATAGATGTTTTATAACTTCCTTCCTAATCATCAATCATTGACTTCTAAAATCCACCTTTATATCGTCGATCTCCTCACTTATAATGAGAAGGATCACATAGATCAACTTTAGTCGCCCAACATCCAATGTTCCTAATCAATCATCATTTGACATATGCTGATGTCTTATGCCCGCCTTTTTGGTCAATAATCTCCCCTCCTATAGAGAAATAACAGAGCAAACTATTGACCATCGCCTCACATTTGGCATTCTAAATTGACCATTGCCCAATGTCTGTCGATGTCCTACATGTCTTAGATATCAACATATGATGCACACCTTCCTAGTCTCCCCTCCCCCCCCCCCCCCCCCAAAAAAAGGAGAATAAACATGAAAAATCAACGACCGTTACCTAATGTTCGATTTTCTCAATCACTTGTTATCTAATGCAAGTCAATGTTTGATATTTAACACCCTCTTTCCTAGTTGCTAGTCTCCCCTCATATAAGGAGAACCAAGAAAATCATCAACCATCACCTAACATATAGCATTCTCAGTCAACCTTTGTTTGACACCTGCTAATATTCAACATCTGCTAGACATCAACACCCTTGCCTTACTAGCATCAATTTCCCCTTCTATAAAGAGAATGGCGAAGAAAACTATTAAAAAAACCCGCAAGACTATCATCTAAAAACCTTTGAATGCCTATGCTTGCCCAATCTACAATCATTCTCACTAAATAAACTTGCACCTACATCTATTGCATGCTTTTTTCAGCTGCACTGCTCTCTCTAATGGATAATCATACTCACTAAATAAATTTTCACATAAATATATTGGATGTATTTTTTAGACTATACTCCTATATCTCTAAGAGATATAAATGCTATAACCATGCCATATACCAAATGTTTCTCTCACTACATTTTCTTTGACAAGGACAAATTTTCCTATCAAACAAACACAATTAACACTCCACAACAAATTTCACACCAATACCAACCACCTCTCATGTTAACTCCATCCCCTACCATCCGAGTCCCAAACATCTCACTAAACAAGCAACTAACACCAACCACAATCTGCATCAAACATCCCGCTCCCACCATGAACCTTCCTTCAGCACCCAACTAACTCATGCAACGACCATCTATCACCCCCTTATCCACCTTCCACCTCCTCCCATCACATCAGATAATCTTCACAAGCTATACAAAACTCCATCCATCCCCCTACCTATTCAACTCACCCTATGCTTACCTATCTCAAAATAGGGAACCTAAAGCCAAAGCAAATTTTAAGTCTATCTCATCAAATTTTAAGTCTAGACATATTCCACCAAATATAACTCTAATGGTATAGTAGAAACATACAAAGCTCAACTCGTTGCGCAAGGCTATGACCAAGAACTTATCATTGATTACAAAGAGGCATTTTGCCCCAATGCAAAACTACCTACCATTTGAATCTTGCTCAAGTTAGCAATTCACCACAGTTGCTCAATCACCAGGATGGATGTTTTGAAAGCCTATTGACATGGCCGCCAAAACAAAATAGTTTACATGTCAAACTACCATCACCAATCAACTTTAGCACTTTAGCTTCACATTTAGGACAATCGATCCTTCGTTGCTTGTTTATACTTGCAACAACATCAAGCTCTATATTCTCCTCTATGTGGATGTTATATTACTCATGAGTAGTGACTCCAAATACATGGCTAACCTTCTCACATATTTCCAACACCACTTCAACAGTCACAACCTTAGACTAATTTCCTTATTCATTGGGAGTCACGTAACAACAACTTCACAGGGCCTCCATCTGAATTAGCCCACCTACGCCTTCGACTTTCTTAGACGTGTCGGAATGAGCTATCGCAAAAATTCAAAATCCCATCACCGCCAAACCTACAACCATCAACCAACCTGCCTCTTCATATGACAATATGATCTTCTACCATCACTTTGTGGCTCCGTTCAATACCTCACCATCAAAAGGCCTGACATATCCTATGTTGTAAACATCCTATGTCAACACATGCACAACTATCTTACTTAATCTTCACTTTCACAGCCTCAAGCATGCTCGGATCCCAATTGGACTGGTGACCCCATGGATCACAAACCTACAACAAGTTATTATGCATTTCTCGATGGTATACTAGTCTCTTGGTTATGTAAATAAGCAAAAAATGGTTGTAAGAACACCAAATACGAATACAGAGCAATTGCAAGCACTACCGTAGACAATATTTGGCTCGGATGACTCCTAAAAGAATTCGGTCTTCTCATTCCCTCTGTCACAACACTATATTATGATAACGTCTTTTCATGTCTCTCGCCAACAAACTGATCTTTCACACTAGGAAAAAATACAAAGAAGTTGACTACCATTCATTCACATCAAATCAAACAAAATCATTGTACATGACATCTCCACGCAAGATTAAAGCATCAAAATATTCACAAAATCCCTGTTTAACAACCTCTTTCAAATGCTAGGGGGCAAGTTAATGCTCCAATATGCAACCATCAACTTGAGGGGAGGTGATAATAGCACTGCATTAAATAATTACACTATCCCAAAATCTGCTCCAAATAAGCCCTAGCTCAATCTCCATCATGCATCCCTAATTGCCAAAAGCAGCACAGCCATTCAAGTTACCATCTCAGGGAATACGTCAGATATAACTCTCTCTATATAATAGTCTACAGCTATTACCATAGTGATGAATCGAATAGAAATTAATACAGCGTCTCTCCCTGTTATCTTCTACTTCTCTTCTACTGCTACTACTGTACTGCATGCATAGTTTCTGTATCTTCTACAGTTTAAGCAAAAATAGCAATATGCTAATACGAAGTAAAATCAGATTGAGTTGAGGGAATTGCCTTGCGTGCATCAAGGGGTTCGGCTGTCTGGTTTACCGAGGAGCATCGCAATTGCCGGTGAGTCTGCTTTCTCACGCCGCCGTTGGGAGAGGCGAAAGAGAGCAGAGGAGGACGATGGCACAACCGAAAAGCCATTTAGACCTTAACTTCCAAACTCCTACTCTCTTCTATGAGTTTCTACACATCGCAGTCCTTTTTTAAGCATTTTTCCTTTGGAGAAACGAACGAGGGTTTCCAGCCATTCTGGGTAGCGATGACATGAAAACTAGGTTAAAATACCCAAACCAAAATAAAAAATCGGATGACTAGAAAAGAACTGGCTCTGATTTTGCTCTCGTCACGTCTGATTCAAATTAGTATGAAAATAATAATTTACTCATTTGATTTTTTTAATTGAATTGTATAATCAAGTTAACACTGTTATGTCAAGATCTAAATATTTTCTGTATAGTATCAAGTCGGTTGGATTGGGTTTAGATTTTTAACAATTTTAATAAACGGGATGGTTTAGTCTTATTAGGTCATTTTCAGGAATTGAACCAATAAAATTCAATTAACAATCATAATGTGGAGCTAGCAATTAATAACGTACCATGTATGCTTGTACATATTCATACAGGTATTTCCCAACTACCTAGCATGTTCTAGCAGGAAAATCCATCCAAGGCAGTCACATTGTCTACTTTAAGCGCTCGCTAGTTGGAAATGCAAATCTAGATCGATCAAATTGAGGAGTCATGCCAATCTTAATATATATTGGAGAATTTGAACAACTTGTCTTGATAGGGATTAATCTATCGAGATCATTCGCTATCAAAAGAACAATCAAACTCTCAGTCTCTCACTAATAGACTCTGATCCAGCTACAAGAGGCACACACCTTTAGAGGCAGTGATCATGACCCCTGAACTCGAACAGTCCTCTACTCTCAACATCACACCTTTAGGGGTAGTGATCATGACCCCTAAACTCAAACAGTCCTCTACTCTCAACATCCTCACTCCAAGGGGACTTGCCTTTGTTAAGAGAGTTGCTACTAGCATGTTTTACATTCTTGCAACTTATATAGTTTTGATGATTCCAAATATTATTGTTTTATATGTAGTTATCTCCTAACACTTTTTGGAAGATTTGTTTATGCTCTTGTGTGTACTAACATTTCAGGAAAATTGAACTCCAAACTATGAAGACTTCAAATCGAATTCAGTATACAATCCTTTGCAAATTGAAGTTTTAAATTTTTTTTGAATTGAGAGGGAGTGATTGTAATTGAGTGAATAAACACACACACACTCACACTTAAGGAGATTTTACAAAATTTGTACTGATCGTACGGGACGAACCTAGTTCGTACGGAACGATCAGGTCAGTTATCTCCTCGTAATAGCAATGGAACGAACAGGAGTTGGAGGAAATTTTTCTAAGTCCTGATAGTCCAGGACAAAATTATTTTCGTCCCAGGACGAGTTAGGCTCTCTAAAAATTTCATTCAGACGAAATCTATAATCATGCCAGGACGATTTCTTCTCTGTAAAAATTTCGTCCAGACGAAATCCAAATCGTCCCAAGACGAATTCTTCTTTGTAAAAATTTCGTTCAGACGAAATCTATAATCGTGCCAGGACGATTTCTTCTCTGTAAAAATTTCGTCCATACGAAATCCAAATCGTCCCAGGACGAATTCTTCTCTGTAAAAATTTCGTTCAGACGAAATCTATAATCGTGCCAAGACGATTTCTTCTCTGTAAAAATTTCTTCTAGACGAAATTCAAATATTCCCAGGGCGAATTCTTCTCAGTAAAAATTTTGTTCAGACGAAGTTCATTATCGTGCTAGGACGAGTTGTTCTCTATAAAAATTTCGTCCGGACGAAATCCTGTTCGTCCCAGGACGATGTAAACCGACTTACTAAAGTTGGTTACGTCCTGCAGTTATTTGGGAACCGACCTATGGTATAACTGATCGAACCGGATGAACCTAGTTTGTACGGAATGATGATCGTGTACGAACATAGTTCGTACAAATATTCATTAGGATCATTTCCGACACTTTAAGTAAAATCGTCCAGGACGATCCACGATCGTACGGGACGATTCATTTCGTGTTGACTTGAAAAATTTGCAGTTTTGGACGATTTTTTTTGTCTCTCCTATATATAGTCTAATTTAGACTGCCACCCAATCTTTTTGCCATTTGATCTTCGTGCCTATTGAAAGAAGAGTCAAGGAGAGAGTGTGAGAGAGAATTCAAAGGATGATTCCTAACACTGGAGCGTGAAGGCTTCGCTTTGTGTTCAAATGTAAGAATCTCTACTTGTGATTTGGGATTACTTCACTCTTTTCTTTCTTCATTCTAGATTTCTTGTGAGAAGATCTGTCAAGGAGATCCGGTTCTTTGCCACACTTGGAGAGTGTGAACAGACGCGGGTTCTCTGCCCACACTAGGAGAGTGTGAAAGGATGAAGGGTTCTCTGCCCACACTAGGAAAGTGTGAAAGGATGAAGGGTTCTTTGCCCACACTAGGAGAGTGTGAAAGGACGGACGGTTCTCTGCCAACACTGGGGATAAGTGTAAAAGGAAGACGGTTCTCTGTCGCACCGGATAGTGGTGGAAAGAGTTTTTGTAAAGGCTTCTCCGCTTTGCTGTGGGTGCTAAAGGAGAGTCACTAGTGGTATTAGTGCAGTACTTGGAGGGTTCCTCTGTGGAGTGGATGTAGGTCTGGTTTTCACCGAACCGCTATAAATCTGGTGTTCTTTACTTTTCGCTTTTTTATTTTGTTTATCATTTACAACTTGTGATTGAAAAATCTTTTTTTAAAAAACTCACTAACAATTAAGTTTTAATTTTCAAAGTTTAAAAAGAGGGATCAATTTTTTTTGAATTACCAATTCACCCCCCCCCCCCCCCCGTTTTTATTGCGTGTTAAAATATTCTTAGCAAAATTAGTAAAAAATAGGAAAATTTACCATACATACTACTTTATAAATCCTATTTACATATCATATCCTAAATTTTAATATTACATGCATACACCCAATTATTTTAATATCAAATACACTTATTACTTTCTATTTCATCTACCACTCATATTTGGTATGAAAATGAACTATGGGTGGTATGTATGTAATATTAAAATTTTAGGTGTTAAATATGTATAATAGAATAGTATTAAGTGGTATGTAGTAAATCTCCCAAAAATTATTGTCTAGCGTTTC